GGGGTGTAGGTATGTGTGGGGGCTGTAGGGTGGGTATGAGTGCTGTGGGGCAGGGCAATAGCAGCTGGGTAAGCATGATGGGAGAAGTGACCCATCCAAGGCCACATGTAGGTCCCAAACCCAGATTTCCTGATGGCACTCTAGGCCTCCAGAACTCTCTCCTGCTCTTAGTGATGCAACAGGGAGAGACCCTGGAGTGTCTGCCCTGGGCCTCACCCCATGGACAGAGCTTGGGGCACAAGGCCAGTGTGCAGATGGCCCTGATACAGACAATGCCTGTCTGTGATGGGTCAGGCCCTGGGGTGGCCATCCCTGTGATTTCATGTAGGCCTCATGGCCCTTTGGCACCCGGCATCCTCAGCACATTCCCCGGAGGTGGAAGCTGAGGCCCAAGGAGGGGAAGTATGGGCTGGGGTGGAGCTGCCCTAACTGGCACTCTCTGATGTGAGGGGAATGGGTTCCTCCATTCTGGGTTTGGTGAAGGGAGGGACCGATGGAGGGATGGAGCCAATAGGCCACTAGCCTGGGGTGCCATGTCTCCAGAGTGCCCCCCCATCGGGATGGAGTCGCACCGCATTGAGGACAACCAGATCCGGGCCTCCTCCATGCTGCGCCATGGACTGGGCGCACAGCGAGGCCGGCTCAACATGCAGGTGGGTGTCAGGATGGGCCCGTCTCCCCGCTGCGTAGGGGCTCCCTGCGCGCTCAGCCTCCCTGCTGTCCCTGACAGGCCGGCGACACTGAGGATGACTACTACGATGGGGCATGGTGTGCTGAGGATGACTCCCAGACCCAGTGGATCGAGGTAGACACGAGAAGGACTACCAAGTTCACAGGCGTCATCACCCAGGGCCGCGACTCCAGCATCCAGTACGTCCGCCAGGCTCACAGGCACTTGGTGGGGGTGGGTGGCTCCAGACGTGGCCCTGAGTCCCGTTCAGAACCTTCCAGTGGGCTCTCGAGGGCCCCCACCCTGACTCCTTGGTTGTGGCCGGTCAGCTCCCTGAGTCCAGATAAGCAAAGCAACCACCTCAGGTGTGCAGCAGGAATGGCAGCCTCTCCTGATCCCCAGCTAGCCCCACACGTGCTAGCTCTGGGTTCTTGGGCCCAGAAGACGGGGCTCAGGCCGCCCGAAGGCCTGGGCCTTAGCCTGGGGTGGGGAGAGCAGCCTTGCCCTGACCGCTGTCTGCCCCCCAGTGACGACTTTGTGACCTCCTTCTTCGTGGGCTTCAGCAACGACAGCCAGACATGGGTGATGTACACCAACGGCTACGAGGAAATGGTGGGCACCCGAGCCCTTGGCTCTACCCTCCTGGGCCACAGGTGGGTCTCAGCCGGGGTTGGGGGCTGCTCTGAGGCCTGCCTCTTCCCAGACCTTCCACGGGAATGTGGACAAGGACACGCCCGTGCTGAGCGAGCTCCCGGAACCGGTAGTGGCCCGTTTCATCCGCATCTACCCACTCACTTGGAACGGCAGCCTTTGCATGCGCCTGGAGGTGCTGGGGTGCCCCGTGTCCCGTGAGTGCCTGGGGCTGGCAGGGGCATGGACGGGTGGCTGGGGCGACCTGGGCTGGGCTGGCAGGTGGACTGCTCAAGGTCCTGCCCGCCTGCCGCCTCTGCAGCTGTCCACAGCTACTACACACAGAACGAGGTGGTGACCACCGACGACCTGGACTTCCGGCACCACAACTACAAGGACATGCGGCAGGTGGGGTGCTTGTCCTGAGGCTGGGGTCCTGTCCAGGGGCTGGGCTTAGGGTGCTTCCCCACAGAACAGACGGGGCCGTGGGAGAGGCATGGTCACTGGGGGTGGGTTGGGGGCAGGGGGGTGGGCTCTGTAACGCCCTGTCTTTTCTGGCACCCAGCTGATGAAGGTGGTGAATGAGCAGTGCCCCACGATCACCCGCACATACAGCCTAGGGAAGAGCTCGCGAGGGCTCAAGATCTACGCCATGGAGATCTCGGACAATCCTGGGGATCACGAGCTGGGTGAGGGCCCCCACAGCCCCCTGGACCTCCTGGAAGCCTGGTCCTCCCCAAGCCCAACAGATAGAGGCAAGGCCTTGGTACTACAGTTCAGCCTGCACTGTTGATGTTGCTGGCTCACCACCTCCCACCTGTGTCTTTGGAGCCCCTCCTGGGCCCTGCAAGCCTCAGCCACTCCCAGTCTCCTGGGAATGAGGCCCCTTCGAGTCCTCCCTCAGATCCCCTGGGCCTCAGGCCTCAGGAGGCTGGCTGGTTGCTGAGGTTCCTACCCTCACAGGGGAGCCCGAGTTCCGCTACACAGCTGGTATCCACGGCAATGAGGTGCTGGGCCGAGAGCTGCTGCTCCTACTCATGCAATACCTGTGCCGCGAATACCGTGATGGGAACCCACGCGTGCGCAGCCTGGTGCACGACACGCGCATCCACCTGGTGCCCTCGCTGAACCCTGACGGCTATGAGGTGGCAGCGCAGATGGTGGGTGGAGGCAAGGGGGTCAGGGCGGAGCCTGGGTGGGGCAGGGCTGGGAGTGGGCTGCTGATGCTAACCCCCTCTCTCCTGGCTTCCCCAGGGCTCAGAGTTTGGGAACTGGGCACTGGGTTTGTGGACCGAGGAGGGCTTTGACATCTATGAGGACTTCCCGGATCTCAACTCTGTGCTCTGGGGAGCCGAGGAGAGGAAGTGGGTCCCCTACCGGGTGCCCAACAATAATCTGCCCATCCCCGAACGCTACCTCTCTCCAGATGCCACGGTAAGGCCACAGCCTGGCCAACAGGGCCTGGGAGAGCAACCTAGACCCAGGGTCTGGGTGGAGCTCGGGACTTGGGGGTGGGTTAAGGGAGACTGCTGGGTTGTGCTGAGACTGCAGGGGCTCTGAGGGGCCAAGGGGATGTGAGTTCTGCTGTGGGGTCTGCAGGGCAGGTGATGGAGGCTGTGGACCAGACCTCTCCCCCTGGCCACCCCCAGGTATCCACAGAAGTCCGGGCCATCATTGCCTGGATGGAGAAGAACCCCTTCGTGCTGGGGGCAAACCTGAACGGTGGCGAGCGGCTTGTGTCCTACCCTTACGATATGGCCCGCACACCCAGCCAGGAGCAGCTTCTGGCTGCGGCCATGGCGGCTGCCCGGGGAGAGGATGAAGAAGAGGCATCTGAGGCCCAGGAGACCCCAGACCACGCCATCTTCCGCTGGCTGGCCATCTCTTTCGCCTCTACCCACCTCACCATGACCGAGCCCTACCGGGGAGGGTGCCAGGCACAGGACTACACTGGCGGCATGGGCATCGTCAATGGGGCCAAGTGGAAACCCCGCTCTGGGAGTGAGTTGGCCTGGGAGGGTCTGTGGTGGGGCATTTGGCATGGGCAGGGGTGACTGCGGCTCTGTGTCTGCCCTGCCCAGCTATCAACGACTTCAGCTACCTGCACACCAACTGCCTGGAGCTCTCCATCTACCTGGGCTGTGATAAGTTCCCTCATGAGAGCGAGCTGCCCCGAGAGTGGGAGAACAACAAGGAGGCTCTGCTCACCTTCATGGAGCAGGTGTGAGGGCCACCATGAGGACTGGCAGAGGGGTGGGGCAGCATTTGGGGAGAGGCTGGTGAAGGGCTGGGGGACCTCGTGGATGGGACAGGGGAACAGCAGGCCCTGTGGGGTCTCCATGTGGACACCACCTTGCCTCCTCCCTGCAGGTTCACCGTGGCATCAAGGGGGTTGTGACAGATGAACAAGGCATCCCGATAGCCAATGCCACCATCTCCGTGAGTGGCATTAACCACGGAGTGAAGACAGGTACACAAGTGCACAACTATACCCCACTTCCCAGGATGCGGGACCAAACCTGTACATGCCCTTGGCAAAGCAAGCCTGGCTTGTCCTGCCCTGAAGTCCCTGCTCCTCTGGACCCCGACCAGACAGAGGGAGGGCTAGAGGGACTGTGGGTTTCTCAGACAGAGCTGGGGCCTGGGAGGGAGGGGGGACTCCCAGGTAGCCAAATCCATCCTCCCTCTGCAGCCAGTGGTGGCGATTACTGGCGCATTCTGAACCCTGGTGAGTACCGCGTGACAGCCCACGCAGAGGGCTACACCCCAAGCTCGAAGACCTGCAACGTGGATTATGACATCGGGGCCACTCAGTGCAATTTCATCTTGGCTCGCTCCAACTGGAAGCGCATCCGTGAGATCATGGCCATGAACGGGAATCGTCCCATCCCACACATCGACCCGTCGCGCCCCATGACCCCCCAGCAGAGGCGCATGCAACGCCGCCGCCTGCAGTATCGGCTGCGCATGCGCGAACAGATGCGGCTCCGACGCCTCAATGCCACCACGAGTCCGGCCACCGCCCCCACGTCGCCCCCCACCACCCCAACACTGCTCCCCACCGCCGACCTTGCCCCCTCCCCAGCCCCAAGTTCTACGCTGGGGCCCTGGCAGTTTCTACCAGAGACCACGGTCAATTGGGAGGAGTCGGAGACGGAGACAGAGACGGAGACGGAGACGGAGACCTACACGGAGGTGGTGACGGAGTTTGGGACAGAGCTGGGGCCTGAGGAGGAGGAAGGGGAGGAGGAGGAAGGAGAGATGGTCACAGGCCCGGACTTCCCCTTCACTACAGTTGAGACCTACACAGTAAACTTTGGGGACTTCTGAGAACAGGTCTGCCAACGCGCGAGCTTCCACCAGTAGTCACACTGCCTTGGGCAGCTCCGCGGCCATCAGCACAGGGAAGGGCCCCCTCTCCCCCCCACCACCCGGTGTGGGTTCTGCCAGGAGGGGGCACGAATGATAAAGACCTAAGAGCCAGGGTCACCTGCTGCTCCGCTGCAAGGCTGGGATGGGGCCAGACGAGCAAGCCCCGGGGCAGACTTCTCAACCACTTGCCCAGGCCACACCAATAAACCAAGCTCACTGGCAGATGTATCACTGACCACTTGCCATCCTGACCAGCTGGGAGAAGGGAGGAGGAGGGAGGCTCCTTCCACAGGAGTGTCCCGGCCCACACAGGGACTGCCCAGCTCAATACCAGTAAATAGTTAGGCTTTATTTACAGAGCCAAAGCTGTCATGGTGCTGACGCCACAGGGAAAGAATGGCCAGGGCTACTCTGGACAAGGCTGCCTTTGTGAGTCAGGGACCCAGACCTCCCAGGTCCTCGTCCTCTGCCCCGAAGCCTGAGAAGCTGATGGGCTGGCAGGCCAGGCTGCGCAGATTCACGAGACAGGCAGTCTGGGTGGTGCTGAAGTCTGGGACAGCCACCAACAACACTGTCTGGTCTTCGGGGCCTGCAAAGAAGCCAGGTGGGGGCCCATCTTAGGTGCTGGGTGAGCCCTGTCTCAAAGGGAAGTCACAAGAGGTAAACAGAAGCCCTCCCCCACCTCCTGCCATCAACACCATGGAGCGCTGACCACAGAAGCGCCTTGAGACCAGAAATGAAAAAGGCCAAGAACACTGTAAAGGTCCAAAGCTAGAGCCACACTGACCAGGATGAGCTCTGGGCAAGGACAATTTCAGCCCTTGCAGAGCCTGGCCTGTTCACCACACGGGGGCCTGGACACCCCAACACAGGCCTTCTCTGTGAGCCTTGGCCCCAGCTGAGAGCATGTCCCTTGTGACAGCCCAGGCCTGGGGCCCCCAGAAGACAAAACTTACCGTGGATGATTTTGGAGCCAAAGTTGGGGGTGTTGCCACAAAAGTAGACGTGAGGGCACTCCGGAAAGATAAATGGGTCGGTTTTATAGAAAGGGTAACAACCTGGAGGAGGAGGAGGCACAGCTGAGAGTGGGACTTCTCAGCCTCACACAGGAGACACCTGCACATTCGGGGTAGGGCCATCCCATGTAGGACATGGAGCGCCATCTCACACACGAGACCTTGCAGCTGTCACAACAAAAATCCCTCCAGACTTGGCCACGTGACCCCAGAGGCAGGGCAACGTGTTGTGCTGCTGCTGCTTCTGTCTCGGTGGGCAGTGCGGCAGGATGCAGGACTCTTGACTGGCTCAAGCTCCCAATATGCTCCCACGGCCTTTAGCCCTAAGCAGGGCCTTGGCCATAAACAGAGATAAGACTCCAGAGTAGCTCCCAAAACAAAGGTCAGGCTTCGGGGCTTTTCCTCAGACAGGTCACAGCAAGGCTGGTGGGTGCAAATCCATGCTGGGAACCCTCTGAGCATCCGTGGAGCCCCTTTGGTCTTTCCCAACCCTTTGCTCCCACCTCACGGGTCTAAGCCCCGTTACCTAGGGTGTCAGGGGCTGTGGGGCTGATGTGCCGGACTTGTAGCGTCCACTCCAGGATCTCCAAGTGGTTCTCCATGCTGCTGTATCGGAAGATGTCACTCACGTTCTGTCCCGACGTCCCCAGGAATCTGCAAGTCAAGGCTCGGCTGACCCCACCCTGGGGCGGCCACCATCTGTGCTCCTCCCACAGTTGCTGGCCCGGCGCCCTCATAGCAGGTTCCCAAGCCCGCCTTGAGAAAGAGCCCAATCCAGGTGGGCTTTCTTGCAGCCCTGGGTGCCATCCTCCCCTCTTGGTGTCACCAACACAAATGGCCAGGAATCAGGCTGGAGTGAGGCTACCTGACTCCATCGATGGTGGCTTGGTAGGGGTTGGTGACCAGCTGGAGCGTGGAGTAGGCAGTGGCCAGAGGGAACATGCAGGGGTGCAGGGGCTGCTGGGGGAGCGTGTAGTTTGTTGGGTCAAATTCGCCCGGCATCACGTCCACGGGCACGGAGGCCTGGAGGGCACAGGGGCAGGGGAGATTGTGGGGCCCAGCGCCCTCCACAGTCACCCTGCTGGAGTCCCCTTCCCCTGCCCGCCTTCCAGTGCCCAACTGCACCGCCAGAGACTCCTGGTCCCAGCTGGCCTGGCCCAGCTCACTCACGCTCAGCTGCAGGAGGATCTCGTCTAGCATCTTGACGGCCTCCACGCTAGCGGCCTGGGTTTTCTTGGTCAAGTACTTGGCCTGGGAGTAGAAGTCCATACACAGGCTGTCAGGTCCCAAGGGAGACTTAGATCAAAGGGACACCCAGAGCCCCTGCCAGGAGGGCTGAGAGCAGAGCGAAGCCCCACTTTTAGGGAGACAGAGTTCTGGGCCTCTGGCCCCACGATGCCCTCAGAAGGGAGGTTTGAGAACGAGGCTGGGTCCCCAAGCACCAGAGATTCCTGGGTCATCAGACCTGCAAGACCCCATCCCCAACCCTCCGTGGGGAAAGCGGGGCTTGAATGCAGGCAGGTAGGCGCCATACCTTGTTGATGGAATCTCTGCTCTGTGTGTTGTGGCTGAGGAGGTTCCCGGCAAGGATGACCCGGGAGACGTGGGCGGCGCTGCACTGCTCCCCTTCATCCCCAAGCTGCCCTGTCACCACGTCCACCAGCAGCTGGGTGCCCAGCAGGCTCTCGCCCCCGCCTCCACCCAGGCCCAGACCAGACACCAGCAGCACAAACCTGCCAGAGAAGTCAGGGTCCTCTTGGGTGCTGGGAAAGCAAGGGGGTCTCCCAAGAGGGCTGTTTGGAGCTACTGGTGGGGCTCCTCACCATCATAAGGAAGCAGGGGGATGGAGGCAGCGACTGTGATTCCCCTGGACCACTGCCCAGACCCTGGGCCCCTGATCCTCACCTGTCCGTGTCGAGGGGGTGTGTAGGCTTCTGAGGGGCAAGCCCTGCAAAGCAGTGGTCCTCCACCAGGAACTTTCCGTCATCTCCCGCAGAGCCCAGCACAGCCAGGACCGTTCCTGGGGAGCAGCAGGGTCAGGTCTGGGAGGAACCTCCGAGAGGCTACCACCCAACATGCTACCATAGTCTAACCCTCTCCCTGAACCCAAACTCATTGCTCTGAGAATGCAAGTGTGAGCCAGCACCCAGATGCACAGGCCACCCCCTCCCTACTCCCCACCTGTGACCAGCTTTGACACGTCGATGGTGCCCTCCAATTTGATACGCTGCAATTCATCTTCCAAGATCAGTTCATCATCTGGGTGGATGTATTTGCTCCGAGGAGGCTGGGGGAGCAGGTTGTGCTGGAATTCAAAGATGACAGTGGTCATGAGGCCAGAGCCCAGCAAGGCTCCAGTGCTAGATCAGTGAGATGGCCCTGCAGCCAGCAACCCCATGGGCAGAGGCCCAGCCTTGATTCTCTGGATCCAAGGCAGGTAGCCCCAACGTGCCCTCTGGGGTGGGAACACTGTTCTGGGGATGGCGTGTGTGAGCCAGCTGGCCTTACCTCTTCGCTGACTTCCCGTAGGATGGAGGGCTGGAGCGGCATGGCCTTGAAGAGGGTCCCCACCACACAGCACTTCTCCCCAGTCTGCAGTTCACACAGCTTCTTCACTAGGACCCCATTGCCTGGGGCACAAAGAGAATGTGCTCAGAGACCAGGTGGCCCTCCTCTCCCCACGAAGCACTGGCCCAGTCCTCACTGAGCACTGTGGCCCTGGGGCCCTGGTCTCCACCAGGAGGGAGAGAACATCAAATGCAAGGACGCCCTGGACCTAAAGGATCAGCCCCAGGAAGAGAGAGGGACTCTGGATGCCAGGTATCCTTGCAGGAGAGGCAGACATGCAGAGAAGGCAGTGTGAAGATGGTGCAGGGGCAGAGACCAGAGGGATGCGGCCACAGGCCAGCAGTGCTGGGCCAGTCACCAGAGGCTAGAAGGGGCAAAGAAGGATCGGAGGGAGCGTGGTGCTGCCGACACCTGGATTTTGGACCCCTGGCCTCCAGAACTGGAAGGGAATACATTTCTGCTGTTTGAAGGTACATAGTTTTAGCCTTGTTGTTTATGACAGCAGCCATGGGACGCTAATGCAGAGTTCCCTCACTTATACCTAAAGTATAACACTGATTTTTATTTTTTTTCATTTATTTTCATTAGTTGGAGGCTAATTACTTCACAACATTTCAGTGGGTTTTGTCACACATTGACATGAATCAGCCATGGAGTTACATGTATTCCCCATCCCGATCCCCCCTCCCACCTCCCTCTCCACCCAATTCCTCTGGGTCTTCCCAGTGCACCAGGCCCGAGCACTTGTCTCATGCATCCCACCTGGGCTGGTGATCTGTTTCACTATAGATAATATACATGCTGTTCTTTCGAAACATCCCACCCTCGCCTTCTCCCACAGAGTCCAAAAGTCTGTTCTGTACATCTGTGTCTCTTTTTCTGTTTTGCATATAGGGTTATCATTACCATCTTTCTAAATTCCATATATATGTGTTAGTATGCTGTAATGTTCTTTATCTTTCTCGCTTACTTCACTCTGTATAATGGGCTCCAGTTTCATCCATCTCATTAGAAATGATTCAAATGAATTCTTTTTAATGGCTGAGTAATATTCCATTGTGTATATGTACCACAGCTTCCTTATCCATTCATCTGCTGATGGGCATCTAGGTTGCTTCCATGTCCTGGCTATTATAAACAGTGCTGCGATGAACATTAGGGTGCATGTGTCTCTTTCAGATCTGGTTTCCTCAGTGTGTATGCCCAGAAGTGGGATTGCTGGGTCATATGGCAGTTCTATTTCCAGTTTTTTAAGAAATCTCCACACTGTTTTCCATAGTGGCTGTACTAATTTGCATTCCCATCAACAGTGTAAGAGGGTTCCCTTTTCTCCACACCCTCTCCAGCATTTATTGCTTGTAGACTTTTGGATAGCAGCCATCCTGACTGGTGTATAATGGTACCTCATTGTGGTTTTGATTTGCATTTCTCTGATAATGAGTGATGTTGAGCATCTTTTCATGTGTTTGTTAGCCATCTGTATGTCTTCTTTGGAGAAATGTCTGTTTAGTTCTTTGGCCCATTTTTTGATTGGGTCATTTATTTTTCTGGAATTGAGCTTCAGGAGTTGCTTGTATATTTTTGAGATTAATCCTTTGTCTAAAAATATGGAATGCTTCATGAATTTGCGTGTCATCCTTGCGCAGGGGCCATGCTAAAATTCTCTGTATCGTTCCAATTTTAGTATGTGTGCTGCTGAAGCAAGCACAACACTGATTTTTAGAAATAGGTATGCCAAGTCTCAACACAGCCCTGCCTGAACACTATAATTTCCTTCACGAGTTTAGATTCTGTTATTGACCCCACAAGTGCCTTGTCTTCTGAAAAGAGATACCCTAAATTCAAACTTTGTATACCCATCCACCCTGTTCTGTTCTTTGTAAAGTCAGACAGCCCTGTTCACTCTGAGCTCCTGAGATCCCAGACAGAACACACAGGAAGCGTCAGGGATGAGGAGCAAGACAGGCGTGGGAGAGTCATGGAATGCAGGGGTCACTTGGGTGGGCAAGAGGGAGGAGCCAAGTCCCCGAAGGCCTGAGAGTTTGTTAGGACTTAGACCCTAAGCCTGGAGAAAATGCTAACAGGGTTATGGGACAATGTGGACTTGGGACCAGCCCTTTCCTTAGCTGGGTTCTCCAGCACAAGCCCTTCTTGCCCTAACCCTAACCAATAACATTCCACAGATCTACACCCTGGGGAGCAAAGAAGAGTAATTCAGAGTAAGATAGGGAGGGTGGCAGTACTAGATAGAATGCCAGACACCAACGGGAACAACAGATCTCAAAGCCATGATGTCCACTGAGCCTTCACTCAGCCCCAGGGAGCTGTGCCCAGCCCTGAGCCTGGAGCTCTTCTACCCCCAACAACACATCACTGGAGATATTATCACACACTACCTGGCTAAGGAAACTGAGGCACAGAGAGATTAAGTAACATGTCCAAGGCTACACAGCTGAGACCCAACATGTACGTCTGAGCACTAGGCAGAACTGCACACCCCTGTGCTGATGGGAGGACATCCATCCATTCTAGCCTGTGGGCACCAGGCCAGGCTCCAGCACTGAGAATGAACCCAGTGGCCCATCCTTGCTCTCACTGAGCTTCTGGTGCAGAGGGAGAGGCAACAGCAGGAGATGAGGGATCCACTGCTGGGACAAGTGCCATGAACAGACGGGAGCGAAGGCAATAGATGCTGAGAAGGCCCTGCTGGCCCAGGCGGCCTCTCAAGGCACAGGACATTTAAACTGAGGTCGTGAAGGAAGCCTGGGGATGGAGCATGCCAGGCGCAGGGAGAGCCGATGGCAAGAAAGGGCTTGAGGTGTTCAGGAGACTTGTGAGTAGAGAGGAACTCTGCCAGGGGCTGAGCTCTGGAGAGGAAGCCCGGCCACATGGAGAAGCCACGTGGTGAGTGAGAGATGCTGCCCCACTATCCATCATCCAGTCAAGGCCCCACTTATCATGGGCCCCTGTCTGAATTCCTGGCCCTACTCTGTGAGCAGAATAAAATGGCTGTTTCCTGTTACTGGGCAGCTTTGTGAGAAGAGAAGCTTTGTACCACAGCAGGTTAAAAGATGACATTGACCTTGGGCTCGAGGAGGATGTCCTTGAGGACGTCATGTAAAGCAAGAGAAAGGCCAGAGGAAGGAGACCCTTCTTATGTGGCGGAGAAAAGGTGAATGATACTTCTGCCTGAAGTAAAGAAAACGGAAAACATCTTTAATATGATGATGTAGCTAGGAGATTGAGCCACGTATTCTCCTGACTGCCTATAATATTAATAAAACCAGAGCTTCCCTGGTGGTGCAGTGGTAAAGAATCTGCCTACCAATGCAGGAGATGTGGGTTTGCTCCCTGGGTCAGGCAGATCCCCTGGAGTAGGAAATGGCAACCCACTCCAGTATTCTTGCCTAGAAAATCCCATGGACAGAGGAACCTGGTGGGCTACAGTCCATAGGGTCACATAGAGTCAGACACGACTAAAGTCACTTAGCACACACACACACACAACCCAGCTAATCTAATGGGACAGAATGGACCTGGGAGCCAGAACTTTACAAAGCTTTTCAAGTGCTTCCAATGTACAACTTGGGCTGAGACCCAGCCACCCAGGTGGCAGTTGGGGATGGGGGGAAGGCAATAAAAATGAGTAAGACACAATGTTACCTACAAAATTTCTGTTTAAAGGCATAACAGATTAATTCAACACTCATGAAAAACCACTCTTTTTTTTTTTTTAATTTCTTGCTCCCCGTGTGGCATGTGGGATTCTAATTCCCCTACCAGGGATCGAACCCATGCCTCCTGCATTGGAAGTGCGGAGTCTTAACCACTGGACCAGCAAGGAAGTCCCGGAAGCCACTCATAGATATTAAGAACGGGGTGATGCAATATCACCTGAAAGTTGAATGTGGTGCAGGGTGGGGAGGGTGGGAGTCCTGCTTCATCAGGAATAACTTAAAGCAGGAGAGATCACCAAGGAAGAACGGGGAAGAAAGAAAAAGGTTTGCACTGTCCAGGTCACTTGATTAAGAAAGACAGACGACCCCAAGGGGCAGGAAATACATACCCAACAAACTCGGAAGCATTTCCCCAACCTCATCACTTACCCCAGCGCTGCTGGGCCCGGCTCACCAAGAAGGGCCTCATCTGGATGAGACGGGTGGCATAAATGTGGGCATACTGCCGGCTAAAGCTGCGCTCTCCCAGCCGGAAGGGTTGCGAGGAGTTGGTGTAAGTCACCACAGGCACCCGGGCAAAAGTGGCATTGCTGGCTGATGGCGGGGATAGCAGAGTGTGGGCCCTCTGGGCAGCCTGCTCAGAAAACATGGCCCTGCTCGATGTGTCCAAGCCAAGGAGGAGGTGGTCCCTGTGAAAACACAAACGCAGTCCTGCAACCCCAGCCCACATGCACAGCAGACAGCCAGAACAGCACCTGGCTGTGTTGGTTACCAACGTCTCACCCAGTAACCTGCATCCAAAAACGGAGATGGAGCAAGTTAGGGAATGCATCTCCCACCTAGAGCTCTCGAAACCCGGCTCAAGTGTCCACTGACCGCTCCACACATCTACCTGGATGACTATCAAGGGCTTCAAACTCCACACGCCCAACATGAGGGGATTCCTCATCTGCCCCCATCCAGCTCCCTGGCACCTGCCCCATTTCAGGGCGTGAAGACAGCTTTATTATTATACAAGCCTACCATAAAATAATTAGCTTATTTTTTTTAATAATTAGCTTATGATTAAATACCAAAATATACATCAGTCACTCCTCTGCTCAACACCCTCCAAATGTCCCCCGTTTCATGGAATAAAACCCCAGGTTCCTACAGTGGCCTATGAGATCTGCCCCACTGGTCCTGCCCTTCTGTCCACCCCACCCCCCCCACCCCAGGAGCACTGCTCTCCGCCCTCCTATACAAGTATGGTCCACTGCCACCTCTCCCTCAGGTCTGCTCAAACCTTCTCCATCTGCATCCCTCCCCTGGCATGTCTGCTCCTCCAATGTTTATTGTTTTTCATAGCATTTACCTTTCAACAAATAATACCTTTTAAGCTTATTGTCTGCCTCCTCTGACTAGAGTAAGAGCTCTAGGAGACCAGAAGTAGCAGCATTTAAGCCCACTTTTCAAAAGCAGTCCCGAGCCTGAGTTAGATGTGCCAAGAACGTCAAATCCACAGCAGGTCCCAAGATCAATTCATGGAGCAGCTCAGTCTATACAGACGTGCAGGGATGATAATAGTTCGCATGTAAGGGGTTAAACAGGATGTGGTACTAAACCGGTATCTACCCCCCCCCCCGTTTTTTTACAGCTATAAGTGGCTTGAATTCTGACCCTACCGGACAGATACTGGGCCGGGACTGTATGTGAATTAACTTTCTGCCCCAAAGTGCAGAGCAGTGGCAGCACTCCGGCCGCAATCTCAAAGGAACCTCTCGGTCTGAAGCCCCAGATCACGGCCCCAGCCCGCAACCAGGGGCCGTCTTGGGAGATACAGCAAAGACCCTGCTCAGACTTCCCTCGAGAGATGCCGCTTAACCCGTCGCCACGCGTGAACACCAAGAGAGTTACCCCTCTGTCTCCACGAGGTCCAGGGAAGCAAGCCCCCACTCACCTCTCCTGACGCCGCGGCCCCGCCCCCTGCCGCGCGCCATCTCCCGCCAATCCGCTCGCCTTGCCCCGCCCACAGAGGCATCCCACCAATCACCGCGCGCTCCACCAAGCTCATCACCGCGGGACCCGCCCGTCGCCGCGCACCGCCTCCCGCCACTCCGCGCGCCTCGCCCCATCCTTGCTGTATCTCACCAGTCACCGCGCACTTTATTATGCTAATAACTACGGGGCCCGCCCCCCGCCTCGCCCCTCCCCCCGCCAATCCGCACTTGCACTGCCCCAGCCATGATACGTACCCCGCCCCTTAGCCCTGCGCATGTGCAGGGTTACGCCCCACAGGTTGCAGAGCAACGAGGGGCGGGGCCAGTGGCTAGGGACCCGGGCGCTCGCTTGTGTGCGGTGTCGCACTGACCCCGGCCCTTCGTGAGGCTTGTCCTGAAGTTACCTCGCTTTCTCGAGAACTGGCGCCCTTTTTCCCACCACAGGACCCCACTGGGTGCCCGCCTCTGCAGTGGACACTGCTGACAACAGGGTGGGCGGACTGAGGCCAATGGTCGCACCGCCCACGGGGAGCGATTAACTCCGCCGCAGGCCCGAGGAGTAGGTGGGGCACTGGGATACTAGAAGTCTGGAGAGGGTTTGGGTTAGGGTCAGGACAAGGGAAACTGGATGTCTAAGGCCCTACGCACAGGGCCAACAGGCCTCCCAACCTCCATCCAACACTCCTCAGTCTCTGTTTTCCTCACTGACCCTCATCTTTCTCACTCCTCCCTACCCACCAAGACTTTCCCATGCCATCCCCCACTTCATGGGGGCTCTTTTCCACATCTCCACCAATTCACAGAATTCCTAAACGAGCCCTAGTGGCCCTTCTGCATGAAGCTTCCTATTGGCTTCAGAGCCGGGATTCAGTCTCATGCCCTCTGGTTCACTCTGCATCTGTTTCCCAAGTACCGGTCTTGTCTTTGGAACAAAGTAGATAATAGTTAAAGATAACACATAAAAGCCCTTTCTGTGGACCTGGCACTGTTTTAAATTTTTGACACATACTAATTCAACTAATCCTCAAATAACGCTTTGAAAATGCCGAAACTGAGGCACAGGTCACATAGCAGGAGTCACCATGTGAGTAACAACCAGGATTCAGCCCGAGGCAGCCTGACTCTTCGGCAGCCTGACTCTTCGCCTTAACTTAATCCTATGTGTTCTGGCCCTCTTGTGCAGGTCAGCTGAACTTCCCATCTAATTATCCATTACTTCATTTTGCCTCTGCCATTTAATTAGGCATTTGTCAAACATCCAATTAGACTGAACTGGAGTTTGCCCTCAGAAGATGTGAGGAAACCTAGTCTAGTTCACTTACCGCAGTGCTTGGCACATGGAGACTCCCAGATCTGCTTATATTTACAAGGTATAAATGAATATAATTAGACTGAACTGGAGTTTGCCCTCAGAAGATGTGAGGAAACCTAGTCTAGTTCACTTACCGCAGTGCTTGGCACATGGAGACTCCCAGATCTGCTTATATTTACAAGGTATAAATGAATATAAACAGAAATATGTGAGCACTTTTTGGGTGCATATTATGTACTAAGTGTCTTAAGAGTGAGGCAGGTCCTAGGATTTCCATTTTACAGAAAGATTCATAGCTGCCCAAGGTCACACAGCCAGGAAACCAGGACCAAAATTGGAACTAACCTGCCTGATTCTCTTGCTCAGACATGAAGCTGGGCGGCCTCTCCACTGAGCTCTGCTACTGGCAGGCCTGTGTCAGGCACACAGTTGGGGCAGCTAAGGGGGTCTGGGAGAGACCCCAAGACAAAAGCCATAGTAGGAATGATGGTGGCTGGGAACGGGGGATGGACAAGTGGGTATAGTTCCATGGGTGGCTTGCACTTCCCAACTGTCTTCCCCTGGCTAACTGCAAGGATGGAAGGGCTAAAGTGTTGACTTTTTAGGCCTCCCTGGCAGTCATTGGTGATGGTGAGATCAGACCTGGCAGAGACATAGGGGAAGTCTGGCAGGAATGGTTGGAGGGGTGCGGAGCGTGCGGAGGCAGGTTGGGCTTCTGAGAAATCTGGTTTTGTGATAAAAAGGAAAAGCACAGGCCTGGAGGGGAGGGGAGTTTGGGGGGAGACTGGGTATATGTATGTGTTTGGCGGAGTCCCTTTGCTGTTCATCTGAACCTATCACAACATTGTTAATCAGCTGTGCCCCAATACAAAATAAAAGTTTAAAAAAGAAGAGACATCAGAGAGCTTTCTCTCTCCTTACCACATGAACACACCAAGAGGTCATCCAAGCACACAGTACTTTCTCTGCAAACCAGGAAGTCTTCATAGAACCCAAGTGTGCTGGCATCCTGATCTGACTTCTAGCTTCCAAAACTATGAGAAAATAAATTTCTCTTGGGTTAAAAAAAAAAAGAAGGAGAACCACAGCCTACTCCCTTTCCTCCTTCTTTCTGTAATGAATAGAGTTCCTGGCAGTGTCCTGCCAAAGATGCCAACCCGGATACCACTTAGCTACTGGATCAGGACCAGCAATTGCTAACTTATTTCACTTTAACAAAGGAACCCCCTAAAGTTTTCTCCACTTTGAGTTTTCTGAACGTGAAACCAAGCATATTCTTAAATGAATTATGTAAGGACTTCCCTGGTTGTCCAGTGGCTGACTCCACACTCTAATGCAGGGGGCCCGGATTCCATTCCCTAGTCTGGTAACCAGAACCCATATGCCACAACTAAGAGTTTGCATGCAATGACTAAAGATCCTGCATGCTACAACAAAGATCAAAGTTCCGTTGTGCCACAGCTAAGACCCAGCGTAACCAAATAAATGAAAGTTTTTTTGAATGGAGTATGTAGATACTCCATTCTACAGAGTGGAATACTCTGTAGAGAGTATTAGAGAGTACTCTAAAAGAGCAGAGGTCTCCTAAAAGGCTTAACAGAAACAGTGTCTTTGGGATTGGGCCTCAAAGTAAGTCTCGTTTCCATTGAAAGCAAGGCCTGGGTGGAATGACATTATAGGGACAGGGCTTTTTGTGATGCTCATTAATGTGTTTTTATTTTTAAAAATGTTTTTAATTGTGGTGAAACATAATATAAAACAGCGTTTTAGCCATTATGAAGCATACAGTTTATCTGATGTTTTTGTTTTTCTGTCGCTTAGTCATGTCTGACTCTGCAATCCCATAGCTGCAGCACGCCAAGCCTCCCTGTCCTTCACTATCTCCTGGAGTTTGCTCAAACTCATGTTCATTGAATTGATAATACCACCCAAGTTTATTGGCATAAGTATACGTCATTAAGGATATGCAATCATCACCACTGTCTGTCTCCAGGTGTTTTTCTTGATCCCAAACTGAATCTCTGTATCCGTTAAACAATAACTCTCCATTCCCTCAGCCCCAGCCTGTGTTACTCTCTGATCTAATTTCTGTCTTTGTGAATTCACCTATTCTAGGTGCCTCATATAAGTGGAAATTATATAATATGTCTTTTTGTAGCTGGCTTATTTCAATTAAAATACCTTCAAGGTATATCATGTTGTAGAATGTGTCAGAATTTCATCCCTTTTATAGACAAATAATACTTAGTTGTATGTGTATAACACATTTTGTTTATTTATCCATTGATGGACATTGATTTGGGTTGTTTTCATCTTTTGGCTATTGTGAGCAATGCTGCTAGGAACCAGGACATACAAATATCTGTTAGAGGTCCTGTTTCAATTCTTTTTGGTATATATCCAGAAGTAGGATAACTGGATTAAATGGTAATTCTGTTTAGTTTTCTGAGGAACCATCACACTATTTTCCACAGCAGCTCTACCACTTTGCATTCACACTAAGAATACACAAGAGTTCCAATTTCTCCAGTCTTTCTACAGCCTCACCAACACTTGTTTTCTGGGCTTTTGGATAGTAGACTTTTGCTCCTTGAAAGAAAAGCTGTGACCAACGTGCACAGTGTATTAATAAGCAGAGACATTATTGCTGACAAAGGTCCATGTAGTCAAAGCTATGGTTTTTCCAGTAGTCATGATGGTTGTGAGAGTTGGATCAGAAGCTGAAGCTCCAATACTTTGGCTACTTGATGAAAAGAGCTGACTCATCAGAAAAGACCCTGATACTGGGAAAGATTGAAGGCAGGGGGAGAAGGGAACGACAGAGGACAAGGTGGCTGGATGACATCATGGGCATAAGTTTGAGTAAGCTCCAGGAGATGGTGAAGGACAGGGAAGCCTGATGTGCTGCAGTCCATGGGGTCACAAAGAGTTGGACACTACTGAGTGACTGAATGACAACAACAACAACAAGCCATCTTAATGGATGTGACACGGTATCTCCTTGTGGTCTTGATTTGCATTTCTCTATTGATTAGTGACATTGCATATTTTTTCATGTGCTTGTTGGCTGATTCATGTCGATAAATGGCAAAAAAAATCACAATATGGTAAAGTAATTATTCTTCAATTAAAATAAATTAAGTTTTAAAAAAGAAATTTTCATTCCTGTATCTTCCATTTTTTAAATTGGGTTGTATTTTTGTTGAGCTTTAGGATTTTTTTATATATTCCAGATGTGAATTCCTTATTAAATATGTGATTTGCAAATATTTTCTTCCATTCCATGGGTTGCCTTTTACTCTGTTGATGGTGTCCTCGGGTGCACAAAAGGACTCGGCAGTGTGAGTAGACACTGTAGAAATCAAGCAAGCAAAATCAGTAACTATTTGAACACTATACAAACACTCTCAGTTTCCTGTTGGAGAAGGAAATGGAAACCCAGTCCAGTACTCTTGCCTGGAAAATCCCTTGAATGGAGATGCCTGGTAGGCTACAGTCCATGCGGTTGCGAAGAGTCGGACACGACTGAGCGTCTTCACTTGCACTTTCTTTTGGTTTTCTATATGGCCTAAGACAAAGATTGAATTTCTTAACAGTGATTCTTGAGTTTCTAAAAGTTATTTCTTCCACAGGCCCAA